AGCCTGCAGCTGCTGTGTTCAGTGGGGTTGGGAATGATGGGTTGCTTTCATCTGCTAACATCCAGCTCAGATTACACCACCCCTCCTCCTCTTTTGCAAGGGAGGGCTCGACCCTGCAGTCGCTCAAGCAGGCAGGCAAAGCACCAGGGGCCTGACGCCAACGGGGTGTGAGTCAGGCCCTCTTTGTGGAAAAGAATTTAAAATACGGGCTGTGTTCTCACTTTAGGTGCAAAGAGGCTGTACGTTTTATTTGTTAAAGGAGACGAGGAATAAATAAAACCAGCCCAGCGGACACAGACCCACGCAGAGAAAGTTCCTTACTAACGAACCGCGGCCACGTACGCATACAGGCGCCAGGGGCTGCCCACGTGCATCAGGACTGGACGCACCAGCACCAACCACGCGCCCCGGCCGCGTCAGCAGAGAGGATTTAACGCCTTGTGACTATAGGTAACTAGCTGTGATAGTTGCTGGGACCAACCACTGGAGGGAGACACGGTTACATCCTCTCAGGCAGTGAATGGACAGTCAGCGGTTCACGTTTCTAAAATGAAAGCACAGTTCAAGGTATACAAATAGCTTTTGTGTGCTGCTTCCCAGCACAGGGACAGACAGTGGCGCTGGGACACTTTTTATAGTGAGGGCGCTGACCCCCCCTTACCCATGTCTGCTCCCCACCCCCTAGAGCTGAGTCTGGGAGCAGAGCCGTGGCTCTGGGAGGGGGAACATGGACATGGACAGGGGTAAGGGGGTTGAGGCTGGGGCCACAGCTGGGGGTGGGGGCAGAGCCCCAGGCTCAGGGCCAGGAGAGGACCCCACATGTGGGGCTGGGAGCAGAGCCACGGGGCTGGCAGCCGGGACCCTGGGCGCAGGGCCGGAAGCAGAGCCCGCGTAAAACCTGGAGGTGCTGCCACACCCCCCAGGCCTCTAGTTCCTGCGCCTATGAGTTGATGTGATTCTAACCAGCTGGGGGCAGTGGTGGACATTAAGCATTTCCATTGGAAGGCCACCCTGACCAAACAGTTGTCCTGACTCCACAGAAATAAAAATTTTATTAAGATGATGTTAAAAAAAAATAGTGAACAGAGTTTGAGCATAGAAGTTTCTGGTTATCAGGGAATAACATACAGATTATAGAGGGTGCAAAGTTTGGTTTAAGATAAGGTGGCATGAGGAATACATAATCTGCAATATCCCCGATTGGGGGTAAAAGGTTGATGGGTCAAAGTACAGACATTGAGATATGAGGGTATGAAGTTCATAGAGTGGCTATGTTTGGGTGTGGATTATAATGAGTGGATATGATGATGAGATTTAATGTTTAGGGAGTTTATGGTTCCAGTTCATATGATCCAAGGGAGAAGGTCACTTGGTCCCTTTCTCGTAGTGGGAGAACGATGTCACTCTGGCTCATATTACACTCAGCCATTGAGCCAGCACCTGCCCATTACTGATTTAACCAGGCATCTGGGTCAAGCAGACTCTGGGGCCAGATTCATTGACATTCTCCAGCTGTTTTGGGCTGCCGGAGACATGCAAATTGGCCAGTGGGGAATGAGTGAATCTAGCCCTTTAAATTCTGTAGCCACTCTCTTGTTGAAGCTGTTTCATGGCAAGTGAGCGATCAGTGCCATTACAGAACTGGTGTCAGTTGCTACAAACAGAGAACCGATATAAAAGTAAGAAACAAAAGTCAATTCATCCTCAAGTGGATCTAAAGCGATTTTCACAGGGCAGCAAAGATCCTGGAGGGGCTGATTTCAAAAGAATTGACCTGGTTTTTATCGCGCTTACACCTGGAATTTCCATCAACTTCTAAGAAACTCTGTCATTGACACCAGAGCAACTGAGATCAGAATCAGGCCTGCTAGCTCGCCAAGAAAGAGTTGGGGCTAGATCCTAGAAATGCAGGTAGCTTTACTTGTGTGAGGAGCCCCATTGAAGTCAATGGCACTTACTCATGCGAGTAGAGTTAAGCAGGTGGATAAGTGTTTGCAGGTTCTGCCTCTGTAAGGGCTAGATATGTACTGCTTGGCTAAGTGCCGACTAAGGGGGGGCGGGGGGAAGGAGAAATAAGGTAACTGCTTATAAATATATTACTTTTATAATACTATATATTTTATAATACTGTTACTTACTGATTTTCCAGTAGCACCAAGAGGCCCTAACTGAGATCAGAGCCCCATTTGTTGTACAGACACATGGTAAGAGACAGGCTGTGCTCCAAGGCGCTGACAGTTTAAACAGACATGACAAAAGGTGGAAGAGGAAACTGAGGCACAGAGAAGCAAAGTGATTTGCCCAAGGTCACCCAGGAGTTCAGCAGCAGAGCCAGGAGCAGAACCCAGGTCCCCCAAGTCTCAAACCAGCACCACAGACACTACACTACAGGGCTTTCTAGAACTATTTTCAGGAGGGAGAGCCAGAGGTTAACCTGGGGTCTCTAGCACATCAGTAACACAGCAGAGATGCTGCACGGCTTGGGGGTGACATGCACAGACATGATGTAGAGTTGCGTCGGCGTCGGCCTCCAAGCTGGTGCCTGCTTGCTCCCCAGGGCAGAAGCGACGCTGTGGTGCTGATTTATGAAGGGAGGGATGTGTATGCTCCTGGAGCAGTTTACAGAGCGAATGAAGAGACAGCTCACTCACCCACACACCAGGTACACCGGGACATGCCCAAGGAGAGGAAATACTTGAACAACTTCTCCAGCTGACACTGCAAAGAACGCTTTAAGGAAGCTGCTCGGATGGTTCCCTGAACTGAGAAATGGCCAAGATGCTAAGCTACAACTCCTGCAAACATGGGATCTTCAGTGGTCATGTCCTTAGTATCACCTTTAATAAGACTGCACCAGTGTTCCCGCTAACTTTTCCCACCCATGTGCGGAATGAATTTTGTTATGTGCACCAATATGGAGGCACAGCACCTCCATATTGGTGCACATAACAAAATTCATGTGGTGGGAGTGGGGCTGAGGGGTTCAGAGTGTAGAAGGGGGCTCAGGGCTGGGGCAGAGGGTCAGGGTGCAAGGGGGGGGGTGAAGGCTCCAGCTGGGGGTGCGGCTTCGGGGGTGGGGCCAGGGATGAGCGGTTTGGGGTGCAGGCTGCCCCAGGGCTACGACGGGGAGAGAGGACTCCCCCCAGCTCTCTCTCCTCACAGCAGCACCTGGGCTGGGGGTGGGAGAGGCGCCTCTCCCCGCTGCGGCAAGTCCGGGCTGAGTTTGGGCCGGGGGAGCGGCACCCCTCCTTCGGCTGCGGCAGGGCTGGGGCTGAGTCAGGGCTGGGGGAGGGGCGGCCCTTCCCCAGCCGTGGCAGGTCCCTGCCAGGCGGGTTCTCCGAGTGCCTGTGTGGCGCTCAATAGGCTGCAGCGTAGCTACGCAGCTTACAGGGACCTTAGGACAGCACCCCCAGCAGCACAGCTTTCACAGCGGATTTCTCCCCCCCCCCCCCCCACTCGCACCCAGAGTAAGTTCTCTTTTGTTTCAGTGCAATTCTTAATGGACGGGCCTGTAGGAGAGAGACAAGGTGGGTGAGGGCACAGCTTTTACTGGACCAGCTTCTGCTGGTGAAAGCGACAAGCTTTTGAGCTCCACCGAGCTCTTCTTCCCCAAAGGAGAGTTAGTGGGTTACAGGAGACATAAAACCAGCGTCCCTTAGAGTCTGTGATTTTGGGGGTCTAGCTTAAGTCAATAGAGACCCCGGTTTTGTGTCTCATGACAACGATCTGTAACCCACTAACTCTCCTCCATCCTATGGCTGCAAAGGTGTCAGCTGCCCACTTCGTTTTGAACGGCTTCTTGCAACATGTGTTAACCCCTTATACTTCACAATCTGTCCACCTTGCATTGAGCTGTGACACTGGGAGGAGCCTGCCCAGACCTGGCGAAGAGCTCGGTGTGTCTCTCTCTCCCCCACCTTGTCTCTCTCCTATCCCGGGACCAACACGGCTACAACAACAGCACTGCAAAAAATGGGGCTCTATATCACAGGGTAAATGCCCACATTAGCACCAGCTGAATGTGCCACCTTCCCTGGCAGTCTCAGCAGAAGGACCAAGGAGTGACAGGTCTGTGGAGTATGGACTGAGCAGTCCTCACTCTGGGCCAGATCCTCAGTTGGTGTAACCTGTGGAGCTGATTTACCCCAGCAGGCGTTTTGGCCCCTGGCGGTGGTGCATTTGGCTCAGGGTGGTGGTACATCAGAAGGATGGCAATGGAGAGGCTGGCAAGGCTGCCTGGGCTGTGGCCAAGTTCTCAATCTCAGATGGAGTGACGGATGCTTCGCTCCTCTGCAAACCAGGCCCTAGGACAGGGGTGGGCAAACTTTTTGGCCTGAGGGCCACATCAGGCAATAGAAATTGCATGGCAGGCCATGAACGCTCACAAAATTGGGGTTGGAGTGTGGGAAGGGGTGCAGGTTCTGGCTGGGGGTGAGAGGTTTGGGGTGCAGGAGGGGGCTCTGTGTGGGATTGAGGGGTTTGGAGAGCGGGAGAGGGATCAGGGCTGGGGCAGGGGGTTGGGCATGGGGAGGGGCTCAGGGGTGCAGGCTCCGAGCGGCGCTTACCTCAAGCGGCTCCCGGAAGCAGTGGCATGTCCCTTCTCCAGCTTCTACGCGTGGCGGGACCCCCGACCCTCGGAGCGGGACCATGCGGCTGCTTCTGGGAGCCATGTGGTGCGGTCCCCGACCGTGTACCCCGGAGCGGGGCCATGCTACGGCTCCCGCGTGGTGCAGCCCCCGACCCGGCGCCCCGGCTGGACCACCGGACTGGGGCAATCCCCAGACCCCGCTCCCCAGTGGGTGTTTGCGGCCTGTCTTAAACGGCTTGCGGGCCGAATCCAGCCCACGGGCCGTAGTTTGCCTACCCCTGCCCTAGGAAGTCTTCTGCAAACCAGGCTGTAGGAAGTCCCGGACCCCAAAGAAGAGACACCCAAAAGAAGAGGCTGCTTTCGGAAGCCCAGGCCTCATGGGGGTGAGAATCTCCGGGGGGGGGGGGGGGGGGCCTTACCCCCCCGGAGGACACTGCTGGTCGGATTTTAGCTTTGAGGATCCTCAAAGCAGAAGAGCTGGAAGGCGATCTCCTCACACGCGTGATTCACCCCGCACTCAAACAGGCAGCCAAACAAGAGCGGCGCTGGCGCCTCCTGGCACACGGCCAGGTCCGAGTAACCGCACGGCCCTTTGTACAGGAGCCAGGGGTGTCCCCACTTGGCCTCGTTCAATGGGGACCGGTTGAGGTAGATGCCCAGATTAACCCGCTTGTGTTTACTCATTGGGTGGGAATAAAGCAGCCACGACACGGTGTTTCTGTGGATGGCGGAGGGGGTGTTCCCACCGTTCAATGGGCAGGTCGTCTTGGAGGCTGGGGCATCTGGCCCTTCCACGCCATCGGCCTCTAGAAGCCCTGCTGTCGGCGTGAAGCTCACCACGCTGCCCTGGCAGCCGTGAGGCGGCTCGCACAGCTTCTTGCATGAGGAGGGGCTCTCGAATGTCAACCCCTGGTCTGTGCTGAGCGCCGCTGCCCGGCACCGGCAGGGAGTGCGGGCGTTGCAGTACAGCACGGGGTCACAGGCCTGGCACGCCACCTCGGCCACCTGGCACTCCCCCGTCTTCATGCCTTTAATCAGC